CACCCCCCCCCCCCCCACCAACCAAACTGTGACCCCTCTTACACCTTTATCCCATAGCCATCACCTTCCCACACCCCCAGCTTTCTGATGACGTGGCCTTCTCCTGTTTCCCAGGGCCAGCCAGCATCAGGGTGCCACAAACGCTCAACTCCTACCCACCTAACTGCCCCTTCACCTGTCCCCAGCACCTGCCTGTCCCTCGGGGCAGTCTGAAGCCTGGCCAAAACCAGCATGGACCCAAGACAGGTGAAGAGCCTGCTTTCTGCAGCTTGCATCCTAAAGTAGCTCTGACCTGCCTGGGCTTCCACCCTTGTCCCGTCCTGTGTGCTCTGGCATCACTTGCCACCTTCCCTTTTCCTCCTCCTCAGGAGGCACGACAATGCTTTGCATGGCCATGCTCTCCTTTCTGCCCCACCACAACTTCACTCTCACACCCCATCCCCTCACCAGCCCCTACATACACCTTAGGCCACACCTCAGCAAAGATTGATGGCCACCTCTGCCGACAACCCCGCACCTTCCCTGCAAGGGTGAACACATCCCTCTACAACTCACAACTGACCACACTGCATCAATTGCCCAAATACTGATGTCACATGTCCCCAAACCCCCAAAATACTGACAGCACATGGCACTTAACTCACTCACAAACCAGGCACGTCACCACTTATTTTTAGACCTTCTGACCTACTCTCACACAAGACCTGCACATTTAACTAAGTTACCTACCAGAGTCACCAGTCGGACAGACCAGTCTGGTGGGGAGCAGGATTGGGGCTGAGGGCTGCTGGTACCAGTTCTTGATAGGTAACGCTGCTGATCCTTTGTCATTCCGTGATGCATTCACTGATGTGCTTCACTGGTTGCCCAGTTGGCACTCCTGTCCCCTCACTGTCCACCTGCAGAATCACTCATGCTGTAGTTCCCAAGGACCTTGGGGCAGCTCCAGACCTGACACACCTTGTCACACCTCCCACGGGAGTCTGCGTTGCACCCACCAAGCACCAGAGACTCGGGACTCCTATTTCTGAGCCACATCTCTGGGCACAGAGCAGGGGAAAGCAGCTTCCCACCACCAGCCCTGGTTCTCCATCTCACCTACTCCTACAGAGGACTCCCTACAGCTCACTTATGGCCCAGAACAAGCACCAGTCCTCTGTCCAGTCTGCAAAGCACCTCAGGGAAAGGGATGGAGCCAGTGAAGGGAAAAAAATAAACACACCATCTACACACATACGTAAGTGTCAAACGCCCTTTAGTGGTAGACAGAGGTGCTGCTGGCCGAGCAGCCTGGCCCCACGTAGAGACTCGCACTGTGTTGTTGCCCGGAGTACCTGTCCCTTCACCGGATATGCACCATCTCCTCCAGGAAGGGGGTTTTCATGCAGCCTGTGCAGAGCTGATCCATCCAGAGCGGAGCTTCGTGCTGCAGAGGGGTGCGCCGAGGGTAGAAGGTGAAATTCACATCGTAGTTCAGAAGGCAACTGATGGAAGCCATGTAGATGTCAGAGAACCGCACCAGCCGTCGAGAGAAGTACGTGGGGTTGTGGAAGGTGCGGAAGATGCTTCCAAACTGGGGGTTGAACAGGTTCTTCGTCAGTGACCTAAGCAGAAAGAGATGGTGCTCTAGATAAGCGGTCAGGGTCCCAGGTTCCAATCCCTTAGCCCTGGGCCACCCCACTCCCAAAAGACATCCAACCCAGGCTGCGATGCAGCCCATGCAGTGAGACCCTGATGAC